GCGAGATGAACAGCAATGTGAAGCAGGTGACAGATCTGGTGGAGGGCATGCTGCAGCGCGTCAAGCGTGGCGAGCTGAGCACAGAGTATGGCCTGAGCTTTCTGGAGGTCAAATATCACATGCTGCTCGACTATTTGATTAACTTGACGTATGTGGTGCTGCGCAAATGCTCTGGCGAGACCATTGAGGGCGATCCCTCGATTGAGCGTCTGATTGAGATACGCACTGTGCTCGAGAAGATACGGCCCATTGACTATAAGCTGCGCTATCAGATTGACAAGCTGGTCAAGACAGCGACCACAGGTGTTTCGAGCAGCACAGATCCCATACTCTACAAGCCAAATCCTGAGGACATGTTGAGCGCTGCAGGCGCTGATGGTGAGGCGAATGATGGCGACGAGGCGGCCAGCGACAGTGATGAGGAGGAGGAGGAGGATGAGGACGAAGAGGGAGGCGCTGCGAAAAAGCCGCGCAAAGCGGCCACAGCTGGCAAATCGGGTATCTATGTGCCGCCGCGCATCAAGCCCGTCTACTACGATGGCGACGAACGCGATGCAGACAAAGAGAAGAAGGCTCTGGATCGTGCCAAGAAGCGTGCCATCACGTAAGACATACATGCTGCCCACATACGTAACTAGCTCTCACGAATTGACTTCATTTACAGTTCATCAATGCTGCAAGACTTGAAGGAGGAGTATTTGGATGCGCCCACTGAGCTGTCGTCGGGCTCGCGTGCCCAGCAGCTGCTCTCGCAGACGCAGAAGGAGAAGCAGGAGTATGAGGAAACCTACTTGATGCGTCTGCCTGTGACCAAAGCCGAAAAGCATCGTCAACGCAAGCTAACCACGTTGGGTAAGTGACAGCTATAGCCATACACAAGACGTATATAGCTACAGTTATTATATCATTATAGGAACTCTGGGTGACGAGATACTGGGCGAGATAAATCGCGAGTCGGCGCTGCGTGGCGACGGCTCAAGCAAAAAACGCAAATTGGCCAAGACACGTGGCAAGGGCAAGAAACGTGGCGGCAAAAAGCGAAAGTTCCATTAATACAGCCAGGCCCAAAATCAGCAGATTAAAGAAGTTTATACGATATATAACAAAGAATATTATATATCCTTAGTGACAGTTTTTCATTTACGATATTTTCTATGATTCATATACTTTGCTTTACGTTTTCATTTAGCTTAATTAAAGACAAGTTTTTTGTTGAATTTCTAATTGCTTTAATCCAATTCATATTAGATGTTTTTATTAAAGTTAAGTTTTGTCTCATATTTGATTAAAATTTATTACCAAAACTCCATTAAAGTTTTTTACATTTCACAATCTTCGTTTTACGTTTTAGTTTTTCTTATAAAAATATATTGTTGAAAGTTTACAGCAAATTTTAAAAATTATTTTTAAATCTAAGTAAGCAGGCATCAACAACACGCCGAAAATGAAATAAAAAATGCGTTAAAACAAAGAGAAAAAAATAAAAAATCTTGCGCATTGTAAACTGCATTATATTTAGGCCACAAAATTAAGCACTTAATATTTTCTTTTCGACTTACGATAAAAAGTATTTTAATCTAAATTAAGAAATTACAAAATTTGATGGCTAATACAAAAACCAAAAACCCAAAAAGCAAAAAAAAACCAAATATATATGAAATCTGTAGAATATTGATAAACAAAATTTCCACTTTAAAAATCTAAAATTTAAGGCACAGCAAAATTTTTGCGTATGGCAAAAGCTAACAAAAAAGAAACGTTTCGTTGTTTTTAGGAGTCCAACAAAAATGAGAACACACTTTGGCAGCTTATGATATGCTTTAAGAAGAAGTAACTCTATATATTAATTTCTTTCAAATAGCAAACGTTGAGCAACAAAATTCAAATTCCAAATGCAGTTTCACATGTAAAAAACAAAAACGAAAAACAAAACAAAAATCACAAATACAAATTACAAATTCTGTAACAAAAAAGCAGTTGCCTTAACAAAAATACAAGAGACCGGTTATACTTACAGTAAGAAAAGCTAAAAAAACCAAAAAAAGTAACAAAAAAATCAATTTGACAACAAGTTTTTATGTTGAACACGATGAAAGAATCAAGAAAATATACCTATATAGCATATGATAAACGTAAGCCCCACCCAAAAAGTTACATATACAAAAAGAAGAGAAAAAAAAAACCCGAAATTATCTAAAAAGCCGAAACAAGATTCAGAATATTTGTGATTTCATTCCAATTGCGATCTGAGGCTCTGAAGAATTATTTAAGTTTCAGGTTTAAAACAAAAAGGAAACTAAAAGCAAAGCAAAAATGAAAAACTCCTAAAAACAACTGAATTTGGACACAAAATTTTATATATTTACTATACGTACGATACGAGTATATAATAATGAAAATTACATTTAAGCAAAACATTTTTGAATAACCCCAAAATGAAATGTCATGGAAATGGAAATGAAAATGGAAATTGAAGCCAGCGAACGTCCACTTGAAAAGTTTTTAAATTTAGCTAACGCAGTAGAAATATTGCGAAAGACTAAGCAGTTTATGAGACAGCGCAGCGCATCTAAGAGAAGTAGAAGAGTTAGGAGAAGACGAGATGATATGAATGAAATATTACCAACATATATATATAAATATATATATATATATATAATTACTGCAATAATATGTAAATGATAAAACATAAACTAGCATTAAGTTAAGTACTTTTAAACAAGCGAGCAAAACTTTTGGCTTTTACAACCAACTTCGACTAAGGATAGAAATTTTTTCTAAATTTTTCTTCAAATGCGAGACGAGTCGCAACTTTTTGGCTATAAACTTTAAAACGAGCGCAACGTAAGGCAGACAACGGAAATTACCACATAAATGCAATAGAACACGAAATTATTTACAGGCAGCAAGCAGCACTTGAAACATTTTGTAATGCAGTTAAATAAATTAATTTAATTAATTTATTTATGTTGAAAGCTGAAAGACTGAATATGTTAAATGAAAACAAAACAAAAAACGATACGAAATACGATAACAAAAACGAAACGAAACGAAACGAAATGAAACAATGTGTAAATCTTTTCTCAAGAAAAAAATGTATTTGGAGGCGTGGAATGAACATAAATAATTTTAATAGCCGAATTTCTAGCACAAATTATAACGACTAAACGAAACGAAAGATGTTTAATTTTTACATTTTATTTTTTGGTTTATGTTTTTTTGCTTTTGCAATCAGTTTGTTTGTTAAACGTTTTGCCAATGATTATCTGTTCGATTCTTTTGGTATTCTGTATTCAAATGCAAATTCAATGTTTTTTGTATCAAAATGATGAACGGGACAATTAGGAAACAAGACACAGAAACAACCGGACAACGGACAGCAGAGAAAGATGAAACTAATGTTGAAAAGAATATATTGCAAAATGTAAATCACACAAAACGAAAACGAAAATGAAACGAAAACAAATGAAAAACAAAAACAAAGTGAAACAACCAAACAAAAGTCGCCTTAGCCTAGCACCACAAACAAATCGAAACAAAAACAAACAAAAAGAAAAACTAACAAAAAATTGAAACGGTAAGAAAAATTTGTAAAACCATAAAAAAAACACAAAAAAAAAATAAAAAAATACTCAAAAGCAAAATATTTAAACTTAAATATCAATTATTTGTTGTAATTTAAACAAACACACGCACACTCACTCACACACACATGCAGAAAAAAATAGTGCAAAAAGTTCAAAAAGGAAAATGTAACTTAATTTTTATAGCCAAAAAAAAAATGAAGCGATAGCAGGAAACGGAAGAGAGTAAAGGTGGGATAATAGCTGGATCTTAGGATCGCTTAGTTTAAGCAACTCCAATAAATTTTACAAAAATCAATTGGTTAATTAGTGATAACAGAGACATGTTTTTAATAACAAATTCGAGCTTAGATTTATTTCAAAAAGAAAAGAAAAGAAAGGGAAAACAACAATTTGAATGTATAAGAAATTCATTTAACATTAGTTCTCTGGAATTATTTAAACAAACAAAAAATGATGTTGTATAGCAGCAGCAGGCGAGTCAAGTTTAAAAGTAATCTCTAATATATACATGCACATAGCTACATATGTATGTGTGTAAATGGTTGGCAGTCGAAACTATGTAAAATTCAAATAAAGTAATTCGAACTAATCTACCAATTAACTATAATAATACAAATTAAGCAACCAGTAAAAACTAACTAATAAACCAAAAACAACAAACAATGATAAAATAAAATTTAAATCTTACAAACCTAAAACTATTAACACGTGTCTTTATTTCATGGGTTGGTCTTAAAGGTTCTACTTTAACATCTAAAACAACTGATATCTGCGAGTTCCAACAACTAAAGGCCGCAGGATTCGAAATATTCAAGTCGTCGTTAGATTTCAAATATTGGAGCGATCGATAAATTTGACGGAATGGTATATGTCAATTCTTGCAGTAGCTTGCTGTTAACTCATATATACTTCAATACATCATATCAAGGATTTAGTCCTGTTAAGCTACAATGATCAGAATTTCGATAAAAACTGAATTGACAAAGATGACTTTTCCACAGCATGCAGCAGCAACCAGTGCCACGCACTGTTAGCTTACAGTAGTTTTACAGATATTGTTAGTTAACAGAGAGTTTGCAGAAATATGTTAGATAACACAGTGTTAACAGAAGTATGCTATATAACAGTGGTTGAATTGCATGCAAAGAAGAGCTTTAAATTAAAAGAAGGTTATTTTTGTTCTGAAAGAATTTTATTGCTTTTCAAATTTACAAAGCCTTTCTTATTTAAAGGAACATTAATTATATATAATTGTATATCTTAAATCAAAGCAGAGGAGAAATCTTAATACTATTTTATATCCGTTCGTAGATGAACACGTAAATTTACACTCTCAGCTGAAGAATAATTGTAATCTGAAAAGATAAAATATGTTTTCGAGTTTAATGAGCTGCAAGAGCTGCGGATTGTTCGAATGGGTTAAGAAACATTCCTATTTCGACTTGTGACTGCAATCTAAAAAGATATGTGTTTTCGAGTTTACTGAATGTCAACCGCAATTCCATAATTAATCCCAGAGGGAGAGGATATGACCGTCTAATGGATGCAAAGAATAAATTTGAAGATTTGAAAGTTGCTTTTTTGCTTTTAGTTAAATCCTTGTGTTTGTTTAGTACTCTGAAGGGATTAATCGAGAACTCTATATCAAAGTCAAAGTACGTTCAGTGTGTCGTTTAAAGGTTCTTAGCAGCTTGGCTCTACAACATAAACCACAATTAGCTTAAAATATATCATCGACTTTATATTAACATTTGCGACATTCTAATAATAGAATAAAACGAAAATACTTATATACAAAACACGTTAGTGTGTATTTTTATTTATTCAATAAAGAAGTTAGCTGTGCGAGTGGGTACGGTAAGGTAGCTGCACAAGTCTGTTCACTTAGAAAGGAGCCTCTTTGAGAGTCAGCCTCTACGTTAACTCTTTACTCCCGAGATATGGGGCTTACACCAGAGCCTTTTCCAAGGCGGGAAGCTTGCGCTCGGCCTTCAGCTTTTGCTTCTCCTTGAGCAGGGCATAGCACTCGGGCACCTTACTGTAGAAGTCGCAGAGCTTCGACTGGGCATTGAAGGCCAGATATTTGCCGCAGTTGTAGAGACGCGGGTGTCCATTGACGCAGACGAAGTACTTCTTGCAGGTCTGCGGGTGACGATAGTAGCGCAGCTCACCCTCGGGACTGACATCCACCTCGGGTGCAACGCCATCGACCAACTCAGGCGCGGGGCAGTTGAAGCCGAGATAAGCCTCGGCATTGCAGTTGGCCACTAGATCGGGCCAGTCGCATTGGTAGGTCTCCTCGTTGAAGGCCAAGCCTTCGGGGCATTTGGTCAGACTGGCCACACCATGGGCGCAATTGCGATAGACACCGCACTTGGTCTCGTCTCCATTGGGATAGAAACCAAACTGACGTGGGCACTCATCTGTGCCATTGGCTGGCTGCAGGCGAGAGCGCTCCTTGCAGGTGGAGTAGGGGGCATAGGTGCATTCGCCTGTCGTCTTGGTGCGCTGGTGGAAGAGCAGGCCGTCTGGGCAGAGCTTCTCCACTGGCACATCATCCTGGCATTCTGTGTAGGCATCGCACTGATCACCAGCTGCAAAGCGTCCATTGGGCGTGGGACACTCGGGCGAGCCAAGGGCTGCAAGTAAAAGAGAGTTATGGAGTTAATATACAATCGGAAATCTCTACGACTTTACGACTTTACGACTTTAGCTGAGCAAAACGAAAGACTTGAATCACAAACTAATTACAAAATTACAACGGTTTATTGTGAATGGCAAAAGGTATACAATAAATGGGCATTGGCAGCCCTTTAACTACAGACTAGAAAACTCGAGCAGCGCCTTGAACGTGCTTTGCTTTATCCAAAATCTGATTTAGCTTTTAATTCTACACCAGTTCCATCATCCCTTCAATTAGTTCTGCTTGCGACGACCGGCAGCGGCTGAAGCGCGTGCCGCCTTAATCTCAGCGCCCTTGGCACGGATGTCGCTGCTGCAGTTGGGCACATTGTCGATGTCGTCGCACTGCTTCAGCTCCTGGTTGAAGGCCTGATCCTCGCCACAGCCAATGCGACGTGGGCGACCCTCAATGCAGATGAAGTACACCTGGCAGTTGTCCGGCGACGGATGGAATGTGTAGTCCTCCTCCTGCTCGCCCAACAAATCTGACTTTGGCGCCAAGGCTGGGCAACGGAAGCCGAGGAAGGCCTCAGCATCGCAGTCCTCTACCTGATCGGGCCAGTCGCACTTGTATGTGGCCGGGTTCCAGGCCAAGCCCTCTGGGCAGTCAAAGACAAAACCGCGACCCGACGCACAATTCATGAACTGTCCGCAATGGCTCGCATCGCCCATGCGATAGTAGCCAAACTGATGGGGACACTCGTCCGTAGGCTGAGCGGACTGCAGGCGAGATTGTCCCTGAGCGCACTCCACATCGATGGGATAGCCACAAGGATAGCCGGTGGACTTCTCGTTGTAGAGCAGGCCGTCGGGGCACAGCTTCTCCTCGGCCACGCCATTCTTGCACTCGATGTAGGCATCGCAGGAGCCAGAGACCGGAGCTGTACCGTTTGCCTCACGGCACGCGCCAGCTGCTGCTTGGGCTGCAAGAGAGGCGGATAGGTTGATTGGGTTAATAGGGTCGGGCTTGGGATAGGTGCGCGCTTACCTCTAATGATTTATGATGAAAACTGATGCTTGCACTATCTCTGCTTTGCAGCTCTAAGCGAATGAGCACTTTAAACAAAATACAATTTAACTCTAAGAAATACTCTTACGAGTTCCATTATATCACTTTATTTTACAAAGAATTTGTAAAACATCATTTTCTTGTTGTTAATTTAAAATGTACCTTATCTACACTAAACTGTTTTTAAACTGTACAAAATGTTGGACATAAGACTTGCCATAAAGACGACGATACCTGAACATTCCACTTTCATTATTACAATTAGCTTAATCATTATAATTATGATTATTATTACTGTCATTATCATTAATACTAATTACATTGTTAAACTATTTTAATTATGTCTCTTAAGTCTGTTGAAAAGGTTATCTTTTTACCCATATTTTGAAACATTGTCTTCCTATGCGCTTCTCATTAATTGGCTTGAATAAGACTTCAATCCAATCTATATCACAGGAGAAGTTTGGGCAGGAAGAGTAGGCTAGAACTTTCTATGTGGAGGAACTGGCAAATATCTGCATAACGTATTTAATTAAAAGTAGAATGCAAATCATCTATCAATAGTCAAGCAGAATACTTGTATTATGGCTTTTTATGGGAGCAATGGAAAAAAATATTGTAGGTGAGTCAAGTCGGAAAATTCTAATATTTCATGTCTGAAATCGAAGCAGAGTCAATGTATATAAGAGAAGTGGGGGCTATACGCACAAATCATATCTCCTACATATCATATCATATCACAATGAGAGACAAAGGCCTAGGCACGCGACGCCAAAGCAAGCCACGAACAAGATCTACTCTACAGAAGCAATTATGGTGAAGTGGTGTTTGAGCCACCAGCACCACTCACGCATGTTCGTTATACAGTTGGCATTCTGTAAAAGCTACAAACGTATCTCTAAGTTCTGATTAGATTGAATGTATTATTGTGAAATCTTAAGATACTTTCTCAATAAACGTCTGGCTATAAGAATGTATGAAATACTATAAATTAACTTTTATATAGTGCGCAGTTCATAGACCTACGAACTAAACTAAGAATTCTTAAACTTAGAAATACTTTTAAAAGCTAAAACACTTTCATCCATTCAAGTAACATAACTAGCTGTTCGCAAGCATTAATTTCTGTTGGTTTTTTATATGTATAAATATTTATCTTTTACTTTTACTTTCACAGAAACACAGCTACGAAAATATCTGTAGTCAAGTCAACGAGTTTACGTTTAACTTCGAAACTTGTAAACTTTAAACATTTTAACTCAATTATTACAATAACTGAGCAGATGTTACATACATATATTCATATATAGAATCGTCATTCCAAAAGCAATAAAACATATTTGAGTGTTTGCCTGCTAGACGAAGCCAAGTGTTAACCAATACGCGTGCCAAAAGTTAAGAGTTGCAAACAATAAATATTATTAAATTGCCAAATACGTATACACGTTTACATACATACATATTTGCATGTACATATTTGGCTGTTTGAGTCTGCCCAGCCGTCAATCATCTCGTGGCGGCAGTTTTGTGACGCATGAGGTTTGAATGAGCTCGCGGCTATGAAGTGTGGCTACACACCCCGTTTGTTGAACCCGTGTCTTGGAATTTCAATTATGTTTTAGACAGCGCACATTTTAAGCTATTTACGTTGCTTTTGTCCCCATTACAACTGGGGAAGCCCCTGTTGTTGGGAGTCTCTGCAATCACTGCACAATGTGGCTTAGCTTTATGCTTATATTGAAGCGGAAAACAATTGTGTGCGATCAGAAATAAATCAAGTTTGAAATTCAAATTTGAAATAATTAAAATTTTAAATATTTTAAATTCTATATCGATAAAAGTTAAATCATTTTAAATCAATATTTGTTCAAATATGTTAACAGATTGTTATGATCTTAGATGATATAAGTATGGAAACATTTTGAAAAAGAAATGAATATGCATATATCAATAATTTAGCACAGCGGCCAGAAGCGTATTTTAGCATTGCCTCTTTATATATATTTATCACAGAAGAAGACTTCTCGCTAGAAACTTAAAATGGAAAATTGTAAATATTATTTAAGAGAAGCTCTTGTTGTAGTCAGTTAAGTGTATTGCAATCCAAAAATAGAGTCTTTAACTAAGAACTCATAGTTCTTAAAAAAGAACGTGATACTGACGGCCATCTCCTGCCGAGTGACTGTGGAAGAGTGTAGAGATCGAGAATAGGGGCATGCTCAAACTGCACGCCGTGGGAAAATATGGCAATGGCATAAACAAAATCTATTCGATCAGTTCAGCATAAACTGATGTATCTTAAGCAAATGCCTAAGGGGCATTCTAATCTAAGCACCGTTTAATTTTAATTTTAAGAGCTCTGTGTAACAAGTGCACAGTTACGTTCATAACTGCCTTCAGCTTATCTGCAGCTTGTCAAATTGTTTTGACCAAGTGCAACATCTCAAAAATATTCCCACACATTGAAGTCAATTGCTGTCCCGCTTGATTCCGCATATGCGATCACCATGAACATCAACAACATCATCGTTTTAATTCACATTTAATAAGCTGACCAAAAAGAGCTGCTGAATGCAAACGCGCTCAAAGGTCACGTCGACCGGCTGCTGGGCACGCAACGAGATCGAGCTACAGCGGATTCATACACGAGTAGCATACCGCTGCCGTTCCGTACTGTTCGAAAACTAGTTTCTGGCCATATCAATAAACATTCAATAAAGAAACAACAGCAACAAAAACGCGCCACAAGTAGCAGCGATGTTATGTAATATTGATTTTTGGTACTAATTTATTTATGCGCTGCTGGTGGCGTGTGAATTAATTTTGAAAGAGCGGTTATTCGGCCTTGAATTCACTTTTAGTTAACGTTTTATAAAAAAGATGATAAATTCAAGAAATTTATGCGGAAATTTTGTGTTTTGCACTTTTTTCGGACATTTTCATTTTCATCTGCTGCGATTTCCTGGCATTGTTTGCAAAAGTTATTCATCATGCGCCGATGCTCAATGGCTGTTGCCTAATGGCGCGATGACGCTGCTCGATCCACTGAATTAACAACATACATAATTAAAGCTAAGCGAATGCGAATAAAAAGTTTGCGGCGTGAAGGCGTGGCGCACTTATACAAAACCATTTTAATTGTAGCGCCTCCAAATAGAGGCAATTACAATTGTTTTCTGTCGGAGAAAACGTGGGACTTAAATCTAGTTAAACGTTTGTCTACGATATCTCACTTTTAAATGTATAAAATATATTATATATTTCATTTAGTGCGGGAATTGAAGCAAGGCAAAGTTAATATTAAGTAATTTTAGAATTGCAAAAATTTCATTAATTTTGTATTGTATTTTGGCAGCTTCGACATCTCGCAAATAATAATTTAATATAATTTACAGTTAAGAATTATTTTTCATGATTTTGCCCTGAAGTAAGTCAGCTAGCATTTAATTTTTATAATTAAAAATTTGCGGAATAATAAAAACATTAATGCACCTTTCCTAGCACTTTTTCAATTCTATTTGTTTTGCTTGGGAATAATTAGACTACAAAATAATATTTTATAAATAAAAATAAGTTAAAATGTTCAGTTCTAAATTTATCTAATTATCACATAAAAGTTTTTTAAAATTTAATCTGAATAACTAAATTAATAAAAATAATATTAACAATAATAAAGAACAATTAGAACCCGTATATCTAAACGCGTAAACGTCGAATTTATTTCAATTTTGCATTTGAAATAAATTTTAATGCTAAGCACTCAACTCAATATGAAGATCGTAATAGACCCAGTTCAGTTAACAATTGTCTGGAATATCAGCAGTTTAATTAAAATTTATTATAACCTGGTTTAGTGATATTCATATATATATATATATATATATTTATAGGCACATATATATTTTTTTGTATTTATATTCAATTTTTACTCATACTTAATTTATGCATAAGTAATTTTATTCATATTTATATTCACAATTTATTTATTTATTCAAGTATATTTTTTTTTGATAAGGTCAGTTTGAACGTCAAAATATTTTTTTTAAATATTCAATTTTAATTTTAAAATTCTAAAAAATTAAGCAAAATTCTCAATCACGATTTTTATTATTTTAGTGAATTATTTCGAATTTATAATAATTAGTTCATAAACAGAGATAATTTAAATCACGTTTTGTGGCAAAAATAAGCTGTGACCAACATTGCAAAACACATTTATTGTGTTTGTATAAGTATGCAAAAAATATTTGCGCATTCTGCGAGCAGTGAAACATGCTTTTATTGGGTCCACAGCCAATTTGTGTGCCTCGATATATGTGTACAAGTTTGTTGCCTAAGTCTTTCGTTTCGGTATGAAATGTTTTATTTATTTTGTATGGAATTTCAATTTCACTTACCCAGCGAGCCAAACATGGCCAGACACAAAAAGGCACTAATAATTATTTTAGCCATATTGAACGTGTATGTGTGTGTGAGAGTGTGTAGGTGGTTATCCTTCAAGTGTAGTGTCCTTAGGCACTACGTTACGTTTAGAGGCTAGCAGCGAGCGCGATGTGCAGCCAACGAGCAGACAATTTCGACTGTTTTGCGATAGATACAAAACGCAGATCTTAACTGGTAAAATGGCAAGCGCCGTCAACAGCAACGCTGATGAGCATGAGTTGAGCTGAGCTGCGATCCGGGCTGACGCAGTTGCTGATCTTCTTCTCTACTTTGGGTTACGTATGCGACAGCGGCAGAGGCAGCGGCAGCGACAGCTTTTGTCGCCTCGGTGCCGTCCGTTCGCTGGAGCTGTTGCAATAAAAAGCAAACATGTTAATAAATAACCAAAGCGCATAACAACAACACCGCCACCAGAGCCAGCGAACAAGCTTCTAGCAAATCATCGAACAAAAAGCTTGAAGTGAGTCAGTAAAACCAAGCCAGATGCCACCAACAGGTTGTTTTTACTTGAGCAGCTAGCAACTGTCTTAGTATTAATCAACAAAGATGCTTGTTTAATTTATGTTAAGTAAATTCGATTGAATTTGCATTTTTGGCACTTTTATTTTCGTTTTGAAGCCGAAAAAAAACAAAAGCTGTCAGAAAACCAGAAAAAGATCAAGACAACTCTTAAAGTCAAGGACGCGGACAAGCTGCGCCCAAGCGAAGATCCAAGCATTCAAGCCTACGGCTGTGCCAAGTGCGGGGCTACACCATTGTGTCAGAGTCGACTTGGCTAATCTGGTCGCACAACGTGAACAGCTCTGGGGATTTTTGCTTCTTTTCTTGAAACTTAGACAACTTGTCTGCATCTACATCACACAGAAAACAAATCAAGTGTGTCTCTAGCAGATTAGCTGCCAGCTAAAGATGAGCTATTCATAAGAAATTAACTAACTATTTAAAATTTCAAATAATACTAACAAACCTGTTTCAAGCATCTAGTGAGATACTTAATGATTTCGAGTTTTCAATTACATTAATATCGGGTACTTCACAACTTAAAGTTTCATGACAAATTAAAGAATAAAATAAATAACTAAATAAAAAAATAATTAAATTAAATAATAAAAAATTACTGAAAAAAATACTATAAAATAAATAAAAGCATAAATAATTAAAAAAATAAATAAAAACTGAAAAATTAAACTATAAATAAATTAGAGAATAAATAAATATATACCAAAATGTATAAATAAATAATTAAATACATAAGCAAAAATCATAAAATAAATTAATCAAAAATTATAGAAGAGAAAATAATACCATTAATTTTTAGGCAGTTCCCATAAATATTAAGGGTAATAATAACACATTTGAGTTGTTCATTTTAAATTGTTTTCTTTATTGTTTTTTTTTTTTACAATACTTATGCATAGATATATTTCAAATCAGTTTTGTGTATTTTTCTTACATTTCAGCTAATAGTCCTTGCTCAGCGAAGAAAAATCATATGTAAACGAATAGAAACGATCAAATGCTTAGCTCAAAAGAACATAAAAGAGGCCTAGGTCTAAGATTAGATTGTAATTTGATTATGGCCTAAATAATTGATATACTGCCAAGTGCTAATAGTAATAATAATCATAATCATAATAGGAGTAATAATAGTAATAATAAAAGTCGTAACAATAGCTTGTTAAACATAAAATTGGCAGGCTAGCTATAAGAAGACTCATTCAATATTGGGCATGACTTCGACTAACTGCAACTTGAATTTCAATTCAATCAACAAACTTCTTTTTCTTTTAAGTAATTAATTTGTTGAAATACTCATACATATATATAAATATATATATGCATATATACTATCCATTATTTACATACAAAAATAATTGTCTCTGTTTTTGATACGAAAATCGTTCTTTTTCCACTTATGTAATTTGGCCTGAACAAAATGCCGCTAAGCCAACACAACAAAAGGTGTTTTCTGAATTATTTATAAAAATACAACTCAAATACAATTCACTGCCGCAATAACTATTATCATTATATATATATTTATATTTATATTTTAATTTTTTATTTCATTTCGTTCTCTAAGGCACTTTAATACTTTATCAATAATTTATGAAATTTCTTCAAGTTTTTAATTGTTTGGTTTTTTGGGTCTATTTTTTAGCTACTTTCTCAATAATTCTCTTTACTTTTATGATATTTACTTGGGCATTAGTTAGTCTGGCTAATTGAAGTTTAAGTTGGTTTCGTAACAGTTGAGCGCATAAAATTGTTTTTAGCGAATTGAAAAGTTATTGCTAACTGCTTTAGGTGTAGACTTATATATATATGTATACCTAGAGACATACAATAGATACAAACACCAATTGTTTTTTTTTTCGTTTTGTTTTGTTTTGTTTTTGTATGTTGTTCCCAAGACACTCGCAAAAAAGGTTTTTCCCATACATGACAATTGCTCTACAGCAAATTATGAAATCTGCCAACTGTCAAAAAAAGCGCCCGTAATTCCTATATAGTAGTTCTTTTAAGGCCTGAACAACAAAACCCCTCCATGCCACGGCTTAAGCATGTGTTTGTCTATACTTCTCGTTATGTTTTTAACATTTATATGTGCACAAGTTTGACTTTAAGTTCAACACTAAAAAAGCATATACAAAACTAGTTTAATGCATATGATTTTAAAGAATTTGTTATGTTTTGTTTTCATCTCTAACTGCTTGCCTCGTCTCTTACTGCTTAAGTTTTATATATATATATATATATATATCTGTATATATATTTCTATTTAATTAATGCTCAAACTAATCTTCGCCTTTACTAGTACAAATATCACGGTTTGCATTTACGCATTACGCTTGAAAACGTATCTTTAATTAATTGTTTTGTTAATTGTTTAATTTTAGGCATTCCTCTCGAACATCTTTCTCATCAAGGTTTTGTATAATTGTAATTTGTTTTCTTCTTCTTTTTAGTTCTATATATCTATATACTCGTAAGTCTGTATGCATTATATGTATTCTTCAATTGTTCAGCATTCTAAATTTAAACATTTCCCAAGTCTATTTAATTCATTTAATTATTAAACGTTTTAAACCTTTATTTTGCAGCGGCTTTTGCTTTGTTTTCAATTATTTTTCTTCAAATTGTTGCTGTCTAGCTCTAAGATTGGTTTTAACTAGTTGTCTAAACCTATTTGTTGCCCACTTTTTTCGTTATTCGCTTCGAAACATAAACTCTGGAAAGTTCGGTCTAGTAGACGGCCCAAATGCTGACCTACATAGTTTATATATATAAATGGTTAGACTATTGTGGCTAGGAAATACTATATGTCTTGAAGAGCAAATCCATCAACCATTCAATGGCAGCTGGTATATCTTCTTTGTTATGGAAACAAACTCATTAAGGGGAAGTACGAAATCGAAACAGAAGCGTAACTAATTATAACGAAATTTCATTCATGATAAATCCACTAATTAATTCATATGTTAGATGATGCTTAAATTATAATTGGAAGTGGAACTAAATCGTAATGACTGCCAATGCAGCGTGTGGACTGCATCCGTATGGAGGCTGCATTGCATGGATATGATATGAGCCCTATATAATCGTCGAGAAACTCTTCAGCTGTATGGCAGCTCCAGCAGCTAAATAACTCTAACTATGTTCAGCATTTAAAAATGAAACAACAACAACTAACTACGTTTAACGTACTTAAGCCGTGCTCCTAAGGCTTCGCTTATGCATAAAGAGTAGAAAAAACACCCGCTCCGAACTCGGCTCGTCTATAAACCTAAGTAATTCTCTAGGCCTAAGCTAACTACCTAACACTAACTATCTGTAGAACGCACACACACACACAAACATATACACTTATACGCACACTCACGCACACACACACATACACATGTACACGTAGACGAGCGCGCCATAAGGAAGGGCCTCTAGGATATAGTATATATATAGGATAGAAGGACATCTGCATGGCATGGCCATCTGCATCGGTCTCTCTCTCTCCCTCTCTCCGTCTCTCTCTCTCTATAGCATTGCAAATATAAATAGTGTGTTTCGCTCCTCTTGCTTTTGCTTATGCAGCCGCTGCAGTTGCTGCTGTAGTTGCGATGAAGTCGGTGCTCAACTGTGCTTCATGATTAGTTACTATATCGCACAGCCCTTGCGCATGCCGTACATGATCTTCAATTCGGGATAGATGATCTTACGTATCAGCTGATTCGTCTTGCCCGCCAGCATCGCGCGCCGATTGTCCTTCTTCAGCACTTTGATGCCCGGCTTGTGCACCAGAAAAGCATTGTCCAGTATGTGAAATTCGTAGTCCAGCACGCACAGCGAGTAACCCTGCACAGATCACATTGAATACAACTCCAAAGACAGTAAATAATCTTGGCCAGGCCAGCTTACCTGCGTCATCTTGTCGCTCTTGCCCTCCCAGCTGAGCCGCTCGTCGTAGTGGGGATCTGCATGGGTGCCAATGTAAATGGGCTCCCAGTGCACATAGTAGCCGGTGCGCTTGCCTATGTGAAACACACTTAGCTCGTCCGTCTCGTTGGCTGCCATCCACTCCTTGGACTTGGGCACGCCGTGGCAACTGGCGCACACGCGCTTATGGAAGGGTATGGCCTTGCCATTCCGCAGAAATTCTTGCAGCTCCGTTTTATCGTGTGGCACCGGCGAATTCTCATCCACCTCGAATATGCTCAACGGAAAAACTCTAAGAAAGGATATGAATAACATTTCATTAGTTTGTTTTCCGATTTTAAATACGGCTTAAACCTAATACTACTTGTATTTTATTTTATTAAATTACATTAAAAAAGGATTTATATATGTATAGTATATAGAATATAGTACTCACAATTGAAACAGAATATTTAAAAATAAAAATATAATTTTGGATCATACATAATTTTGAGTTGTATAGTTAAACACTACAAAAATATTTTTAAAAAAATTCCAATAAATTTCGAAAACAATATTTTGACTAATTTTCATATTCTTGAATATTTAAGCATTTGCTTCGCCTGTTTTAAATTTAGTTAAATTTAATATAAGGACTAGAAAACAAGTCTACTATTTGAGAACTCACCTGGGCGCCTTGCGCCGCAGATACTGTTCGTTGCGAGCAATCATCTCGAGGAATTTCTTGACAAGTCCAGGATTGGGATACAGTTCAATATCCGAGGCGAGTATGAAGTGTGTGAGGGCAGCATCGCGCGCAATGTTGCGACCCACATTGACCGGGTAGAGCAGTTTCTTCTGCGCCTTGTACAAATGTCCGGAGCTGACATTGAAGTAGGGCGCCGGCAGCGAGCAGTTATAGCCAGTCTTGAGAGCATCCTGTGCCTTGGGCACGCTCTTGGGTATGTGCTTAGTGCCGAAGTAAACGTGGAAGGTGGCATAGGCGCGCACTAGCTGATTATCGGGCACACAGTCCCGCAAATACTTGATGGAGTCCAGCGTGGGCTGAAAGTCCGTGCCGGGCGCATGCATAGCTATGCTAATAGGTGCGTTCCAGCTGCGAGTGGGCAGAATGACGAACATGTGGGATTATACCACAGAGAAGACCACAGAGAGATTTGATCACTTACCGTTGTAGCAGCGGCACCAGATTGTCCAGAAAGGTGTAATCCGCGTGCGTTGTGTAGGTAATGGACTCGTGGCACTTAAGTTCGCCATGATCGGCCCTCACATAGTTCTGGAGCACCCAGAAGTCGCCGCGTTGCAGCGTCTGCTGATTGTAATCGTGCTCAAAGCAATTGAGCAGCGTTCGCACGCGCTCATCCAGCTCCTTCTCATCGCCGGTGACTATGTAGCTATCCGGCTGTGTGTTGTTCAGCTCTGACATTGAGCTGCTGCTGCCAATGTTGCCAACCACCTGGACAGGATCAATTGAATTTGAGGACAAGCCACTGCCGCCACCACTATCGTTGACTACTGCGGCCGGCGGTGCTGCAGCTGCCGCAGACTCTGAGTTGGCATTGCCTGTTCCGACGGCTAAGAGTTTCTCCTCCGCAAAAGCCGCCTCTGCCTATGGAAAGAAGCCAAGATCTAATTAACTCCTATTCATATATCCTCTAATCAAACACTCACATTTTTTGACGTGGGCGGCTGTTGTGGGAGTAGTGGACCAGCCTGTAGCGAAGCTGCTGCGGGCGGCTGTTGCTCCTGCAACAAAAAGCCGCCGCCGCTGGTGAAATTGTTGCCTCCGCCATTCATCACAATGCAGCCGATATAGAGCAGAACAGCCACATTTATGAGAATACTGCACCGCAGCAGCCAGTTACGGCGTGTGAACATTTTCTGACCCAGCGGCTCAAAGCGCATGTTTAAGCTGCAACAAGATTATTGCTTTATTAGTTAATTGAATTGAAAAGCGGCTTAATTTAAATTAAAAACTGTTAAGCATTAACATCACTGTTACCTAGAACGCCATCTATAGTAATATCTCACACAAGAGTTCAAGCATAATTTCTTTAACATTTCAATTTTATAAACATTGCTGTTAGCGAAAGCGCCCTCTATCTTAATTTCGTGTTACTATAAACAGCTACGTAGCGGTGCCACCTCTGCTCATAACGCGCTGCTAGTAATTTCGGCAGGTCTGTTCTTGCTAACATTATGTTATATCTAACAGTCTGTTAACCCATTCGAATACTTTTGCAAGTATCGCCCATCTCAAACACAAACCATTCTGAGTACACTTCAACAGCTGTTTATCTCGGCGCCTTTTTTGCTGCGGATGCCGCACTAGTTTCTCGTTGATTTTTAATTGTTCGAAGTATCGCATAATATTATTATACACACTGCACACACATAATCACACAAAATGTCGCTGCAACAAGCTTTGGAGGATTGCCTAATCGACTTCGACAGACGTGTGCTGGTCACCGATTTGCTGGAAGAGTACAAATTGACATACAAAGAGGCTCACGAAAAGCTTGAGGCGTATATTAAACAGCAGGAAAATTCGAGTGCCGTCAAATACGAAAAGCGGTTTGTGGTCCATGGCATGCTGGAAAATGATGAGCAGTATACGATTGTGCAAGGTGACGACAAATTAAAGGAATGGTTAAGCAAATTGGAAAACTCGCAATACCACCTGTACTCCGTGGAGGTGGCTGGCGGCTCTAAGAGTGCTGCGCCCATTTTCAAGCCCATGCATAATGTGGAGGTAAAGCTGGCCAAGCTAGAGCAGCGCTCAACTGTCAAACCGCAAACTAATGGCGTGAGCAATGGTGTTCACAAGCCTGCAGAGATATCAAAGCCCAGCAGCAGCAAGGAAGAGCCCTCAAAGCCTGATAACAATGCTGAGGAGCAGAAGAAAACGCCACCTAGCGAACAGAAGAGCAAGGCTAAAGCAACAACAGCGAAAAAGGGCAGTATCGGCAGCTTCTTTGCCGCAGCTCCAGCTGCCAAAACACAGCCAGCCAAGGAAACAAAAGCAGCGGCAACCAAGCCAGCGGCTGGCAGCATGGACAACTTCTTCAAGAAGCAGCCAAAGTCGAGCAGCAGTCAGTCTAGCAGCATAAAGAAAGAAGGATCGGCCGAAGAGAAGAACACATCCATTCAGCTGTTTGCTGAGGAGAGCGAAGAATCTTCGGATGAAGAGGAAAAATTGGACAAGCTGCGACGCAATGTGATAGGATCCGGTGACGAGTCGGATGAGCCAGATGCCAAGCAGAAGGCTAACAGCAAGCGTCGTCGCATTGTCGACTCCGATGATGAGGAGCAGCCACAAAAGAAATCAGCAGAGAAGGAACTGCAAAAGCCGCAAAAGCAGCAGCAAGAGGAAAACGAGGAGGAGGAGTCAATGGATGTGGAGGAGGCAACAAATGAAACATTTCTGGATGATGATGGCTTTGTCATAACGGTAAAGGCCAAGAAACCAAAGCAACCAGTTAAGAAAAAGGCTTCGCCGACAACAGCAACAGCAGCATTAGCAACTGCAACAAAGAAAAAATCACCGCCGGCAGCCAGCAAAAGCGCAAAGGAGACGCCCAAAGTTAAACAGGGCAGCATCACGAGCTTCTTTACCAAAAAGTGAATAAGCCACAAAACTAGTCGGATGGCTTGATTGAATGCTTAGTTTAAGAAAGAAATATTTTGCTAATTTATTATTAAATGAAGTATTATTCACTGCACAGTTTGTTATTGTTAATTCTCACTAATTAAATTAAGATTCATATAGAATGAGTTATAAGTAATTGATTTAAAATTATTGTAAGATGTATTTCAATCAATTTAATTGGAATCAACTCGATTTGTTATTTGAAACTTGCAATTTGTACGCAAACTTTGCTTGCCTTTTGTTCGACTCCATTGTGAGAGTTTCCGTATGGTCTCCAGCAAACTGTTTCCTATCTGGACAGCAAGTGTTCTTATAAATATGAAAACAACCTCAGCTCATTGCGCTATTTGCATTGATGATTGTTGCTAGCTTCTTATCGTGGCGCATGTACGTCATGAATGTTGCGCCAGTTGTTGCCCAACTGAGTGAGTGAGTGGCATCTGTTTACTTGTGCAGCAGCTTATCAATCTTTGCAATTACTAATTAGTGCCGTCTAATCAGTAGACTCTGCTCTTCTTTTATTGCTCTTAATGCTACTTTGAGCACATTTTAAACGTAATTTGCGGTCTGCAGCCGCAACGAAAAAAATAACGAGTTTTGCATTTACTTTTTTTGTTGCTTTTTAAAATGCGAGTGCAACGACTTTCCGTAGCAAACCAACGGACGAAATGTCGTCAGCATTAGTCAGAGTAAAAAAATAAATAAAAAATAAAATGCCGCAGAACAGGAAGCGTGAAATTAGCTGCTTTTTTCTCTTTTACTCTTATTTGCTCTTCTTTTTTTAGGGTAGTTTGCTTAAAGTGCCGCCAGAAATTTAATTAGCAACAACAATTAGTTGCGATTCCCACATTAATTACGCAACATTCGCGATGCCTCAGGTAAATGATGTTCACAAAAAAAATAATTATGAGAGATAATATTTTTATTAAATTTGTCTGACAAGGGAAATGAAAAGTACTTGAAATGCTGCCAAATGTTTTTCGCTGATGTGGAAAATTCTATTTTCGCTTGTAAATTTTAAGGGAAAATTCAGTTTTATAAAGTTAATTAGCTGAAAATTAGCTTTAAATGTTCAAATAACTTTTGTGCGAGTTCGTGGAAAAGTCAAATTTTATTTATTGTTTGCAAGGTTGGTTCCGCTAAGCCCTAGAGGCTGTGAAATCGATAGGCTTATATAAGACGGTGGACAGGCTGGTAACAACTATAGCTGGAGTAATAGACTACACTAGACTCTTATTCTTGATTAGGAATAAATATACTTTCTAGAGTCGGTCAAGCATCCTTTTGTCTGTTATATACTTTTGGACTAATTCCCGTTTTATTGCATTGGAATAAGAAAACTTGTCAAATTCTCTACTCTGAAAGGTTTTCTTATATTTTACATATTCATAATTTCCATTTAATTTAAATTTAAATTTAAATATATGTGCCTTTTAAAATAAATCTAATGGATCTAAGATATTTTTTATTTTTCATAGGACATTTCATTAAATTGTAAGCTTTTATGTATTTTATTAAAATTTTACCTAGAACAGAGACCTGGAAATAATGCTTTGGGCTCAGCTTCCTCTTAGCAATTGCAACATATATTTTGTTATACATTGCTAGTGTAACTCAAAAGTCAAGCTTAGCTTGCATGTTGCCTAAGAAGAGATGCACCTATATAAGCCTACTTAAGTCGCGATCTAACCCATTTTTGTAATTATAAAAAGTCAAAATACAGAGAATAAGATAGATAATTAAAACTATGAATAAAGACATCGACTAAGAGAAAGACAGATATTTATATATGGATTATAAAGATACATTACATAAATAAAAGAGGGAAAGAGAGAACGGAATTTAAAATTGGCCATCACTAAGACGGCCAAGGAATTACAAAGCGAAAAGCGAAAAATCTATGTCAAATTATTGAGTTGGAACTAGTCAAAAACAAATAATAAACAAATTTGTGTGTGTAGCACGCAGCGATCGTTAAATAAACAAAAGTGAATATCCATAAATTTGGCATAATCTCTTGACACTTTCGAAGAAAACGTACGAGAAACGATTAAGGGCCACCGCCTGCATTGGCGAACAGTGCGTATTAAATTCGCATTTCATTCTTTGCCCAACATTATTTTTTATTTTTCGTTGTGGTTATTTTGTGCCAGTTGCGTGTGCTCATTAGGGCAGTAAAAACGTATTATTCGAATACAAATTGTACGGTTGCTTTTGAGACGCAGCTGTAGCTGTTGCTGGAGCTGGTCCATTCATTAGAGGCTCCCCCGGGGGCACACGCGCCCTGGCATTTTACACGCGTCATTGGTATCGCCGACGTCGCGTCGCTGATGGATTGAAGTGAAAACTGCGAGATGTTTCAAGTTCAATGCACTGTCTTGACTGATGGCCCTCTGCTCACCGCCTCACGCCGCCCCTAGCCACTCCTCTGCCAGAGTCAAAGTCACAGAGTGGGGGCTGCTGCGTTAGGCGATTTTATCAGCAAGTTCTATAGAAATATAAGAAGTGCCACTGGTTTTTGTGTTTCTGGGACACGACACCAGCATATGGGACTGGATTGTTATATGCTGTTTGATAAATTTGCATAGCTCGGGGGCCAAATGTTCAAGTCGAACGCCTCAAGTCATCTGCAATGCCACACGCACAGGAAGCCGAGGCAGACCAAGAGAAATCAGCATCTGGAATCAGAATAAGAATCTCGTCAAGCTTTCGCACTGCCCGCGGGCCAATTTGATAAAAATCTTTTCAGCTCGCACAATATAGAAGCGTGAGCGCGCGCGCGCGCTTCGCAACAAGTCTTCTGGTTTTGGTTTTGGTTTTGGAACCAGAGAGTTCTCTTCTCTTTTATGGTCACATTTGCCATCGTAATAATCGTGTGTGTACAGAGAGTTCAATGGCTGGCACTTGTGAGTGGGTTGCTTGGCGGGTTCGGTTCTTCTGTTGCCGTCGCTTTTATGGCCCCGTTAAGCCTCCACTCACTCTATGCAAAGCACAAGAGCAAGCGGGCGACCGAGCGACCGGGCGGCCGAGTGAGCCAACGCTACCATCAAAATTTGGAGCAAAACGTGAGAATTTTTATGAGTATTCAATTTGTCAATTGGCACAGAAGTGCGACACACGTTTTAACCATTTTCAATTGTGTATAAACGTTTTTTCTTCACTTCTTTTCTGGGTATGTCAAATTTTGCTTGCTTGGCAACAGCGTCTCAAAGATGACTGATGGGGCTTGGGTCAAGAGTTTTGGCCAATCGACTACTCATCGTAATATGAATATCTAATAAGGCTGCTTATTGAAACAGGTTAAGCTTAGCTCGAGGGCTAACAATTGATAGCAACGACAGCTACAACAAATACACATTAGGCTCAAAGGAAATTCTATATTTAAATACGCAATTAATAAGACAAGATTTGTGTGCGTTGTCTTCAAACTAGAATTCTTAATAAATGCGAGATTGTTGGAACCACATAACAGACATAAGAAAAGACAATAGAGTAAGCTGCTAATTAAATAATCTTAGTTGAGCTTAAGCATAACTCGAAAAGTAAAATACTAAATAGACTTCCAAGAATAACATGAGCTTAATTAGCAATTGTAATTTCTGGAATTATGAAATTATAAAAAAATAATTAATTATAAAGAAAATATGTGTTAACAGCCTTCACATGAATAATTGCAAAGGAAGCTTTTAGCAAAGAGAAAACCACTATTTTGTATATATTTATTGTTATTAATATATTTCAATAAATATAAATTCACATGTGAGGAAATTTTAGGACTTATTGAAAGGGAGATAAATAAGAAACTAATCGCTTTAACTGTATTTTGATTAAATTTATAAAAATTAAATAGATTAGATTAAATATATTTCAAATAAAAAAAAATATAAATATAAAATATCTATAAAAACTAAGTTTCTTGTTAAAAACTTAATATAAAACTTAAAATTTAATAAATAAATTAATTTTAACTTAAAAATTTAAAAAATATATTTCAAAGCTAAAAAAATATTTTTTCCGAAGTTTTAAAAAATTTTATAATATATTAATATTATTAATATTATATATTATTTGCTTTCCACATAAATTAATTACAATTATAGATGCTTCAACGATTAAAGACCTTAGCTTACATTAAAGATTTAGTAAGAAAAGCAAAACCCTTGCGACGCTCGAAGTTTCTGAAGTTGTTATCGTTCGTTAGCAATGCATCAGTGTAGCATTAGATCTGAAGCTGGGATTAACTCATTGTGCCACCTTAGATTAACCCCACTTTCAGCATCGATTTTCGCTCTTTTTTTAGGAAATGCCAACGAAAACTAACAATAAAGCATTCCAGCTATAACAACAGCAACAACAGCTGCTGGCAGCACAATCTAATTAGACATAATAAGGCACCGAGCGAAATTTGCTGGCCAAAAGGTCTGGTCAACTGTGTTTTGTTTGCCAGCAACTCGGCGCGCCCTGGTGGCTGCTGCTGACCAACAAAGCAGCGGAGCAACTTCGTCTTCGACTTCGAGTTAGAGTTGGAGTTTCGAGTTCGTACCGAGTTTTTCCGGCCTGCGCTATTAAAATATATTACAGCAGCAATTTCACTCGACTTTATTTTTGCGCTTTAGCGGGAGCAGAGGCAAAGGCACTGCGAGCAGAAGATGGGAGCAGGCAAACAGAGTTGCTACTCTGCACTCGGCAGCCTGCTTTGGTGTATATAACTTAATTTTTATGGTCATGCAAGTCAATTGCAGTTTGGCATTTCTTCGATGAATTTTTTCTTGGGCCAACCTGAACGTCATCGCGCCGGCTCGTTGCGGCCATCATCTGCTTTCTGTTTCGGTCTCTGCTCGGACGACTGGTTGTTATGCTGCCAAAGTCGTAACATGAAACGCAGCAAATTGTTTGCACAATGATACAACAGCAACAACAACAAACAGAAAGACTCTAAGCCAAGCTGAGCATTGGGCGCACCGGGACCAGGGCATCTTCACTTGGCCATTGCCAACAACGGTCTGCCGTCCAGCTGCTGGCCAATTTCTGCATAGAAATAAATCTATGGGCGTCTCGACATACACTCAAGCT